TCCCAACTGATCCCACCAAACAAGTGCATAATCAGAGAACTCTAGGGAAGCCAATGTCACTTTCTTATTCTCGGAGTAGTTATGAAAATCAAACACTAGTTCCATCTTTCGCTCTTAATCCAAATAAGCATCAGGGTTCGTGGTACCTCGAAAAGGTGGAATCGTGACCTTGAGGTTTCGCAAATCATCATCCTCCTCAAAGCCCTCTTCTTCCTCGTCATTAAACTCCTCTTCATGATGCTGCTACCACCCTCTCCTTTCAGCTTGAGGCATCCCAAGGCGTCTATGCTGGCGCATATGACGCTGTACTTCGTGAACCAAGGGTGGAGGAGCTCGGTTTTCCCTTCCCCTTTCTTCTTGTCGAGGTCTAGGGTTCGGATTTGCATCGACCACAACCGGCTGCTGGAGCCTTGTCTCGACAGCCTACATCCTCGTGGCTTGCTCGGCAAGCCTAGCTGTTTGCTCTTCTTGAGCAGAGAAATGTTCTCCATTTGATTTCTGATCGCTTCGAGTGCTGCTTCCATGTTTGCAATGGAAGAAAACTCCAAGAACACAAGAAATTAACAAGAACTCGCACAACCTGCTTCTTGCCTCGCAAGAAACACCAAGAACTCCCAAGAACAAACAACCTCTTGTCTTGCGGCTCAAGAACATGCCATGACCTTCAAGAACTCGCACAAAACGACAAAAAACACGAACAAGAACGCACAAGATCTTCAAAAAAAACTTCAAAAACACGACACTGATTTAAACCAGGCTCTGATACCACTTGATATAATCAAAGTTGCGCAGGGTCAAGCTTCTCGAACCAAACAGAACCGGATAGTACTCACCCGTGACTAAGGGCAATCGATATATGAATCGATCGGACAGATTCAACTCGGAATAAAGGGCAATTGATATGGGTAGCTCGCCACAACCAGGGTGAATACCTAGCTGATAAGAGTCGCTCTAGCACTCTGGAGATTCTCGACAGAGTAATTAGGGCAAATTCCGCGTAGGGAACTCGGCAATAGCCTCTGAAATTCAATAATAATCGTCTAAAAGCAAACCAACGTGTTCAGCCCTTTAAATAGGCAAAGTACAACCCAAATCTGACTCCAACATGGAAAAACAATCATAAACCGACTTTAAAACAAGGAAACTCGGAAATAGCCCAGCAAACCCGTTAAGCCCAAACCGTTAAGCATGGACCCGTTAAGTAAACCCGTTAAGCTGGACCCGTTAAGCAAGCCCGTTAAGGCTGCTTCTTGCAATCTTCCTTCTCTTCAGCACTTCCTCCTTCTTCCTCCACTCGAATCATCATATATGGCTTCCCTCGAAATAGCTCCACGTCCATGGCTGCAAAGTAGCTCTCCAAATATGTCCCAAGATTCTCCTTCAATGTCCTTGCCTTAGCACGTGTCACTGGCCCATTGATGTCCTCATCAAGTGACCGTGAAGGGTCCCGACCACCTCGAACGCAGCTTACCGGGAAAGAGTTTCAGGCGTGCATTAAAGAGCAGAATACGATCACCTACCTGAAACTCCTTCGAGCCCTTCAACCGAGCGTCGTGGAGACGCTTGGTTCGCTCCTTGTAGAGCAGGGTGTTCTCGTAGACATGGTAAGGCCATTCCTCCAACTCCAGCAGTTGCAGCTTACGTTCGGTACCTGCAACACTCAAATCCATATTTTGCAGCTTAAGGGCCTAGAAGGCCTTGTGCTCTTGCTCTACTGGCAAAAAACAAGCCTATAGGGTGTACCAATCGGGTTTTTGTATGCTGTCCTATATGCCCAGAGAGCATCATCGAGCTTGGTGGACCAGTCCTTGCGTGACTGATCCACCGTCTTTTCGATTATTCTTTTAAGCTCCCAGTTTGTCAGCTCGGCCTGACCATTTGTTTGGGGATGGTAAGCCACCGACACTTGATGCTTAACACCATAGCGAGGGAGGAGCTTAGTGAATTGACCTTGAAAATGGGTTCCTCTATCGCTTATGATGGCGCGAGGTGTCCCAAATCGTCTTGCATCATTGGTGGGCATGGCTTGAGCTTCTGCCCACCTCGAGACGTAGTTTATTGCAACAAGTATGTACAGATTGCCAAAAAGATGGAGGGAATGGGCCCATGAATTTCACAAACGACAGATATATGTTGAGGCATCTCATCTCGGCAAAAATTGTTACTTGACCTCTAGCTGCAGTCGCACTGTCGTGCAAAGGTGTTTGCATCCTTGAAGAGTGAGGGCCAATAGAAGCCCGATTGTAGAACCTTTCGCGCCGTGCGGTTTCCACCATGGTGACCGCCAGTAGGTCCCTCGTGGCATTGAGACAGGATGTAACACCCTACCCTGTACGTTTTGCCTGATCATATTGTTCACGCAATTGCAGCGGAATTTAAAACTGGTGTTACATTAATTACCATAAATCAAATAAATTTCGACATGAATTACTCGCGCAATGGGCTAACAGTTCTTGCAACTAGACCTGCAAAATAATTCATCCGAATTCCTGCATTCGTAGACATACATATATACTCACAACCATGTACATAGGCTTTCATAGCTATAGTCACACTTTCGTACTTTGCAACTACATACCATGCTTATACATGTCATAATCATCACTACACACACCACCACACACATATACACATATAATCAACTTTCCACACCTGTGGATATCTCACAATGCATCAGAAGCTAGTATGCACATGAAAATGTTCTCAAAACATTTTTACAAAAAGGTGTGGATCACTGGCCAAAATCCCGAGTAGTAGTCCAAGCACAGAATAGTTGAAGACCATACCTCATCTTGCCTTCAACTCTTGCTCAGCTCCCATCTATACACCTATCTACTGCTGCTGTTGATGACCTGCTTACACATAGCATAAGCAGAGGAAAAGAATAAAAGACGGTCAGCTCATGGTTTAGTGAGATAATCATAGCATCGTGAGTTCATAACAGAGCATACCCCTACCATACATCTAGCAAACAAGCCAAAGCATTGGGACCAGACCTCAGCCATCCGACATCCCAATAGCCAAAAGACTCAACCACCTTGACTTATGCATATGCGTCTTATCATGTTTTAATCATAGGCGCCTAGCTACTCCCATGCTAGTTACTCTCCCGGGAATACGGACCAAACATCTCGTGGATGTGGTCATATCGGACCCACCACTGCCGGTGTAGTCATATCGGACCTGACACCACTCTGGGTGTGGTCATATCGGACTCGACACCACTCTGGGTGTCGTCATATCTCATGATGAATCAACGGTCAACACCACATCAGGGGTGTGACATAACATATCATAACGGAGTAATAGCATGGGGAGCCCTAATTACTCTGTAATTGACCATGAGACCAAAGTACTCTTACTTGGTATCCTTATACATTATCCATATCTCATCTTGCTTAATCATAATTCATTGCTTGGACATGTTCTTGACCTGGCCACAATTGGCTCAACATAACCAAGAGTCATTTAATTGCACTTCCTCGAGATAAACCCTCGTACAAGTCATCCTCCTCAAACATCATAATATCACCATGGAATATTGAATTTGTTTGGGTGGTAGCAGATTGCAATCCAATCTTTCTTCAATTATGAGGTGTTTGTCCTGAACGTTTCAATATTTTTGTGCGGCAAGGGTTGAAGTCTTTAAATTAATCTCAGAGCCTCTTTAACAAGTTGTTCAGTCGTTGATGAAAAACACATAATAAAGGAGAAACTTTATGGGCCAATATCTTTGGAAATCATTCATACTTGATCTGTTTTCGTGCTTCTTTATAATTTATTGATTAGTTATGTATAGTTTCTGCTTTGCCATGTAACGGTCTTACTTTATTTGTTTCATCCTTTTCCTCGGATCACACACCGGTAAGAAATCGTCTTCGATCCATCAGAGGATAAGGCTAAGGACTCATCTTATTCCTCACCAATTCAGCAAAGGACTCAGCAACCGATCATTAGTTTTCTCACAATCTTGCATTTATAGGGCCAGCCAGTTATCCTTCTTGCTGCTTGACTGATTATCTTTGGATAGCCCTTTGTTGCAAGCTTCTCCTTCAGTAGCTCCTTATTAGAGTAAAGTGCAGAGTTTGAGGCTTTACTTGCAGTCTTCATTTATAAGTCACGAGAGCTGAGATAGTAATGCAAGATGATCAAGCTTGCTGTAACTCGCATAAAAAATTGTTAAGTTTATTAGTTAGCCCTTCCGATTATGTTGGTGTATCTTCTTTTTTTTTCTTCTTTTTTCTAAATGAATGATGATATGTTTTCTCTCTAAGGTGATGGCGTATGAAAAAGCTTCACTAGAAAGTCAAAGAACTATGGTTCTGTACTTCTATTTGGTTCCTGAATTGGGAGGTGGGGAACCCTAGAGAACAAAACTCTCAAAGTGCGCCAAAGGATATTTGAGATTTTTAGTCACTATAATAGTTTTGGATTATCTGTATAAGTCTGTATTTTCTTGGCAACCATAACTGTTTTTAAGCTATATATTAAATACCAATAATATTTCATAATTAATAATTTCTAGAATATAAGATTGTTAGATGATTGTTAACCATAAAGTTCGAACCCAATATATGCCAATCTCTTGAAGTTCCTAATTTCTACTTCAATGCACAATTGTCTTAGTTTCATTTGTAGCTAATCAAAATGAAGGATAATAATAACAAATCTTATGAAGAGATACCATTTAAGCAATTTATCATTAACATGGTGCAAATTTTTTTTTTCTATAAAGTATAGACAACAATAAACTAAGTTGACCGTATCGATAAAATTTACCTATAAACTAATCTTCTTACTAATATAACAATCAACAAGTAATGTGAAAATTATATTAAAATCATGAATAAAATTTTTAGAAGACGGCAAAATAACTCAAAATATGAATGGATCGATTAACCTAAAACAATAAAATACAAATCAAAATTCATCCGATCAACGGATCGGGTAAAAACTAGTTATTTATATAACTCGTCTTTGGACTTTGGAGGTCCAAGGAAACATCAACGAAACGAAACGTGCTGTGGTGATTCTTCCCAACTATTTATACAACCCTCTCCCTGTTGTTGTACGCTTCTGGCATCTCCTTCCTTCCGTCCTCCCGATCAAATCACAGGCTTGCAATCTTTGTGCTACAAGAACCGCTAATACCGATCAAATTCTTCTCTCCAGTGCGTTTCTCTTTCAACCTGAATCCTGCAACCATGATGCCCGAATAGTATGTTCTTGCTTTCTCTGTCTCCTTTATACCAATAATCCCAAAGTATTTGGATTGTTGAATTTTAGGCGTCGGCAAAATCTTAGTTTGTTTCTCATTCGGGTATGGCTTTTGTTATCTGGGTGGGGCTTGGATTCGGGAATTTGCGAGATTATCTGGTTAATGTTGTGATCAATTAATTTGATTGTTTGTTTCACATCTGCAGAAAAAAGTTTGCGCCTTTTATCATTTTCTCTCTGTCTTCTTCATTTGGCGTCTTCCTCCCTGATAGAATAATTAGGGATTAGATCTTAATTAATCCCAGGCGTGGAGCTTTTTATCTCTGCGTATTCAACGCTTTGATGTATTATGTCAATCTTGGTGGATCTGATATACCATCATATGTCTTATGCTGTTTGCTGGCTGACCTAGTTCCATATGTTGAAACGTTCCTGGTAAATATTTAACTCAGGGTTTGTCTTCATTACCATCTCAAACACGTGGAGTGTGAGACGGTGAACATGTTTGATCTTGGTAATCTGTAGAAAGTGGCATGTACGGTCTCACTGAGATGACTTAAGTGTAAGATCACGCATTAAAGTTTATAATGCTTCTGTGAATTTTGACAGTGATTATCTGTTCAAGCTACTGCTTATTGGAGATTCAGGTGTCGGCAAGTCGTGCCTTCTCCTGAGATTTGCTGTGAGTATTAATGTATACGGTTCATGATAACTTAGGGGTGATAGATGGGGTATGCCTTCATGAACTGATAATCGTGTTGGTGCAGGATGATTCATATATTGAGAGCTACATAAGTACCATTGGCGTCGACTTTGTAAGTAGGCGAAAATTTCCGAGTTGTCGAGAATTTAGTGATGTAATCCTATATATTAACATCTACCCCTGCTGACTGTTGTGCAGAAAATCCGAACAGTGGAGCAAGACGGGAAGGTTATTAAGCTTCAAATCGTGAGTTATCTGCAATAGAACACTTTATAATCTCATTCTACGTTTGATTTATGGATTAATCTTTTTTATTTTATCTACTCTTTGTACAGTGGGATACTGCTGGTCAAGAACGATTTCGTACAATTACAAGCAGCTATTACCGTGGTGCCCATGGCATTATTGTATGACCAATTACAACACATCTCCTTTCTTTGAAGAACTAATTCTTGCATGCATCCAAGAATTTGTTAGACATTCAAACCATCTTTTTTACCTCCCAAATTTTGCTAGATCGTTTATGACGTCACAGATGAAGAAAGCTTCAACAATGTGAAGACATGGCTGACAGAAATTGACAAATTTGCCACCGACAGTGTTAATAAGCTTCTTGTCGGGAATAAGTGTGATCTAACCTCAAAGCGTGCCGTACCCTATGATACTGGCAAGGTATGTTCATGATCGAGCTCTGGTGTATCATAGCTGAACCAGTTCCTTTTGTTTTCTGTCTTGGTCATGTCTGTGATTTGTAATATGCTCCTGTACTCGAAGGCATTTGCTGACGAGATCGGGATCCCATTCCTGGAAACAAGTGCAAAGAGTGCAACAAATGTAGAAGAGGCATTCATGACGATGGCATCTGAGATTAAGAAAAGGTGAGGCTTGAGTTTCTACCGTCATCTATCAATCTTGACATAAAGCTCGAATAGTGATTTGTCAACTGACCTAATATTACGCTTTTGTTTGCAGAATGGCAACACAACCTGCGATGAACGCCGCCAGGCCAACAACAGTGCCGATAAGGGGAAAGCCAGTGAACAATCAAAGTTCCAACTGCTGCTCATCTTAAGTACCTTGGGAGTAAATGCTTTCTTTCAAACACATTGCAGGAGGAGAAGCAGACATGGGGTTTGTCAGTTGCAGATCAAGTCCCCTGTGTACAGAAAATTCCCAGAGATATTTAGAATCACATTGTGCTGCTGCACCCTCATATATGAATTTCTTGTAGGATCTCATTTGGATATTTTTTGTTCATTTTCTTGATATGATGGCTCATAGTTCAATTGGTTGCAACCCTTTAATCTTTGTGCCCTCCTCTGAGTTTGTTTTAGTGTAGAATGTCCCTCAATGTCCCGCATTTTGTGCTTCGGGGTGGTTGGGAATAATTTTTTCCTCTATTGGTAAGGACTAATAATGACTCAAATAGGGAGGCTGCGTATAAATTATAACAAACTTGGAGCGCATAGCATTCTTAACCCTTTGATCATGCATAACAAATGGTCAGTAATCAAGCATAAGGATGAGCCTAACTCTTTCTGGTGGGGTTACAAAGCCAAATCTAGCACCAAATATTGGCATTTTCAGCTTTGTTCTTGCCAGTTGGAGATTGTCTTACACTTAACCGACTATTGGAGATTGTCTTACACTTTACCGACTATATCTCTATCATTTTAAGTCGAACAACAAAATTAAGACATTTATTACGAGTCTATACTATGTGGTAATGTCTGGTAATACATGATATCATACCATGAGGTATCTAAGTGTACCATGGTGGTATGAACATACCAATAGAAGTGTCAATCAAGTGAGTTCAGGCGCGTACAATCGGGTTAAGGGTTAGTTGGATTTCGTGATTATCGAATTATGGGTCAGTTGAGCTATGGGTTGACCGTGTTACCCATCCGTCGGGTTACGGATCGGCCGACTTGTGAGCAGTTCGAGTTGCTAGTTGTTTGGGTCAGCACATTAAGGTATTGTTTACTCGTTACAATTCACACTTAATTTATTATGCTAGTTTCAAACATTTTTTTTTTTTTGCAACTTTAGACAATTTATTTTTGCCTCATATATGAGCATATTTTTTTTTTGTAGAAGTACTTATAAAGGTATTAAAAACTTGGTCAAAGTGCTACATTATTTTTTGTTGTTTTAAATGATTGAGTTATTGTTGTTTTATAATTTAACAGACCAATCTTAGCCCTCATTGGAGACTAAAATGGTGCTGGAGCAAACCATAAATGGGCCACATCCTTACTTCAGGTGGTGAGGTTATAACGCCATCTGTGGAGTATTTTTCATGAGCCTTCTTGTTGCGAGCAGTGTGGAGAATTTGGTCATAATGTTGGTGAGTGGGCTGAGTGAAGAGTGGTGGAAGCCAGTAGTATGCGACAATTGGTTGTAGCTAAGGCGATGGCAGACTTGCGGTTGCCTAGATTCCTAAGTCTAGCTCAGAGTGGGAGAGTCGAGTGATCTTGCTCTTCAAGTTGTGGCTGCTGGCCAAGATAATAATGTTCCTCCTGCTGCAATTCTAGCTCAGACTCCACCCCCTCCCTCTAAAAGTGGCGTCAGCTTCTTTGGGTTCAAGGTGGTTACTAGGAAGAAACAATCAGGTGTCTTTTGGGGATGGTGGTTTGAAAATTCTTCAATCTATAGTTAGTTCGTGTATTCCTCTTAATGCATGATTTCTCCTTATTCTCCTACAAGGAAAGGGATTTTGCGTTGGAACCTTAGGGGGTTCAATGCCCCTGAAAAGTATAGGTTTATTATTAGAATGTTAAATAAACATAATGTTGATTTAGTTGCTATATTGGAGACATGAGTGATAGCTAGAAATGCTTCAGATATAGTTAATAGGAACTATAGTTAATAAAGAACCGGGTATCTTTATGAAAGATTTTAATGCTACACTTGATGCTTCTGTGTCTTCTTATACCGTTATTCTAAGTCAGAGTTCACTTGAGTTTAGGAGATGTTTTGGTGACATGGATTGTTTGATCACAAGGTGCTAGGGATGTGGTATACTTGGTGGAATAAACATAGTGCTAACCCCATAACTAAAAGGTTGGATGATTTTTTGGTTAACCATGTTTGGTTATCTACTTATCCACACGGTGTTGCTCTTACTGTAGCTCCCGGATTATCAAATCATTATGAACTATTAATTGACTCTTCCCTTGTCGTAGCATCCGTTCCTAAGCCGTTTAAATTTTTTAAGTTTTGGCAGCTTCATCCGAGGTCTCCTACTCTATTGGAGGAGGTTTGGGAGACTGAGTTTGATGGTTCAGTATAATGTTTTGCATGGGGAGCTAAAGGTTCTTAAATTAGGATTAAAAGGGATTAACCATTCTGATTTAAGAACCTTGAAACGGTCCCGTGAAACGACCTAAAAGCACACTAGATGGGAGGCACCCCAACATTGGTTTGACTTTTCTTTCCTTTACTTTCAATTAATAACTTACATGTTTAAATTTTGTTTTTAGGCTAGTTTGTAGTTTAAGTAGTAGTAAACGACCATGTCTTAGTTAAGAATGAGTTCTTATGGACTAAGGTGAAGGGAAAATGGTGAAATGATGATATGTAGTTGTGTGTTGCATGCTTATGAATGAATTTATGTGGTTTGGAAGCCTTGGTAGGTATGAATTGCATAATTGTTTTGATTGTCGCCCACCAAATGCTCGATGAAATGTCCAAACCACATGATTTGTGCTTTTAATGATTTGATGCATGCCAAATGAACTTTAATACTTAGGTTAGACCCCTAGAATCATGTTTGAGGGGTAGTTTTGAATATTGATCGATTGGTATAAGGTATGTGGCCCCTTTGCTCACTAAAGCTTACCACTTTGATATGATTTTTGAGCAACCGGTCCATACCCCTACCTTAGTCGTTTAGGTTGTTTATTGCCTATGGCCACTACATTAAAACCCCTAGATTGACATGTTTTCAATTGAATCAATCAATCAAGATTGTTAACTACCTATTTGATATTGTTTTTTTCACTTTGCACCCTTGTTTTACATAGTAACCATCGAGTGTGGGGGTGTAAAAGATTGGATCCTAGGGATGAGGAGAAGTGTTGAACACATTCTTTGATTTTTTATGAAATGTGTTTGGCATGGATGGGGATGAATTGTTCTTGTGTGTGTAGGAACCTTTATAAGGGTTAATTCTTTGAAGTAGAGAGAGTTCTAATGCTCTTCTGTCCCCACACAACAATCTGGGCCTTGAACACCACTACACCATGAGCAAGAACACCAACAACAACTAAAAGTGTCACCTAGAGGTCGAGAGACCTAGCCCAAGAAGGCGATTCCTTAGCTTAGGGAGGAGATCAACCCAACCACCCTACACTTTGATCCCATAATCACTTCGACAAAGCATTTTGGTAAATTCGTTCCCCTGTCCTTTTACTTTTCTCGCATTGAGAACAATGTGTTCCTTAAGTGTGTGTGTGTGTGTTGGGGGGGGGGGGGGGGGGTATGCATGAATGCTTGTGTGGAATGTCAATATTGATTGTTCTCTTATGCCATAAATATTTGCATGCTTGATCTAGAGAGAGTGTGCTTTAGAGTGATTGTGGACGATGATTTAGCAGTACTTGACCACTTGGAGCCTAGTATGCATGCCCAATTTGTTTTTCCAAATTTGAGGGCTCAAGTTGGCCCATTTTGCATTCTCCCTACTCAATGTGCTTTGAATTGCTAGATAATTTTGATGTTATGCACAATAGGGAGGATAGCGTAGCGCTACAAAGGATGTTGGAAGTGAGGAATTCAGCCAATGATTTCCTCTTTGAATGTGTTGACATTGTCCACTATCGAAGTTCGAACATGTGTGCGGAATTCTCTACTTACTTTTGGACTAAAAATGTTTGCAAACATGTGAGCAATTTTGAAAAAAATATTTTGAAAAAGAGGCTCTCACGTTAGAGGCAACCGAGCATAGTGTTTGAGATCAACCGGCTCGGAATACCCTTTGAGGGTATGTTTAGGGATCAGATAGTTGTACCGCGTCCCGACCATCTTTTACTACTTACCATCCCTCAAAAATCTTTACTCCTCACAGAATCATATGGCAAGGTAAAAAGTACCCTTTAGCTATTCAAGAAACCTCAAAGCTCTCGTTTGTACCCAACATTTTTGGCAACCCAATGTGGAGTGCAGAATAGGAAGTGGTGCTCTCACTAAGACGAATCTGCCCATCATTTTCCCCATATGTGACCTTGAAAGGGAAGGCAATAATTCATCCACTCTTGGTCGTGAGGGAGAGATGCTTACTGCAAGAAGCTTGCAAAAGATTGATGCAATGCGCGTTGACTCGCTATGACACAACTCCTAACAATGGCCAAGTGTAACCAATGAAAGGGACTGCAGTATAGTGGTTCAAGTAATAAATATCGAATCCACGGGTCTCTAGAGTTACTATTACTCAGCTTCAGTTCATTGTCTAGCAAACCAGACAAAGATGGAAGAACTAAAACTACTCTAGCATACTACAGTTAAAGTTAATCTAATTACAGGTTGGGAAGTCACTTAGATATGATTCCCCCTAGCCACTAGCCAGATTAATGATTGATGATCTCTAACCTGTTTCACTTTCATTCACAATGTGGAGAATCCTTGACTAGACCTTGAGTCTCGACTAAAGGAACAAGGCCCTCTTGAGTCAATTGCCTAGAGGGACGTGTCCTTCTCTAGAACAACCGATCAAGGCGTTCTGAACTAGACTCCCTCTATCGAAAGAGGTTATCAATAGATACAAAGTAGTGAATTGACCCTCGACTACAGCAATCGATCCAATACTATCAATCTATGGTGCTATATTCACCTAATCATGTATTCGCTCTCATAGGATCAAAGCAGAATCAATAATCTAGACTAAAGCAGAATTGAATCATGAAAACATGCATAGACTGAATATGAACTCAAGATTATCAAGTAAGAGTACTCATACTATCATCCAATCAAACAAACATAGCTAGGGTTCCTCAAAACATAAGTGAAGGGAAGTTACTCCATAGATAAGAGAGAGACTGTAGTAGAATCTTCAGATGATTAGTCTTCAAGTCCGGGCTTGTTACTCGAGCTTCCAAGGCAAAGAAATCCTCCAATTCCACTCCAAGAATTCCCTCAAATCGCCCTCTCTCTCTTTGGTTCGTCCCTTGGGTGTTTGGGATCTAAAACCCAGCTCCCCCTCTGCAAAAACGCACAAAACACGCTTTTAACAGCCTTCGTTCGCGATCCCCGGTCGGGTATTTAAGGTGGCGACCGGGGATTATTGAAACGCACCGTCGAGGACAGGGGATTAATCCTCGGTCAAGGTCAAGAATACCCGACCGGGGATTTATTGTCAATGCACGGGCCCCCTTCTGCTTCTCAAACGCACAAAAGAGATTTTCCCCGGTCTGCGCAGATTAATATGCGACCGGGTATTTTTGCTCATGGCCGGGTATT